GCACTCACACTAATGATCAAGGTTCGGTGCCACTCTGTCCAAAGCGATGACTTTAGGTAACAAGGATGGTGATGTGCTCGTCAGCACTGTGTCCGTGCTCCACAGCGTCATCTCATTTATTCCCTCAATAGCTGTATCGGGTCAATGGCATGATCGCCCCGTTTTACAGTTGGAAAATTTGAGATTCCAGAGGCTGCTACTTGCCCAAATAGCACAGCTACTAAATGGCAAAGCTGTGCCTCAACTCTGTGTCTGCCCTCTTCACGCGGCCTGAGTTCTCCCCACTGGTCCCTGGGGATGTCCCAGGAAGCACCTGTCACTGTATTGGTTGGGGCTGGTGCTCTGTCCACCACTGCAAAGAGGAGGGGGGAGTTCTGACTTCTAGATTCCTGGAAATCATGTGTGCACATGCACGTGTGTGCATGTGTGTATGTGCGTGCTCACAAGAGAGAGCAGCGATTAAGCAAGGAGATGTGGGTGTTCACAGGACTCAACAGTTTTGTCACAGTGCATGTGGGCCAGGCCTGGCAGGAGAAGTGCCATCCGGCATGACCTGGGTCAGGGCAGGGCATGGCTGGGCATCCCAGGCAGCCTTTGCCCGCACAGGTCCTTCCGGCTCTGCAGGGCCCAGCCTGAGACGGGCCTGAGCAGGCATCACCACCAGCCCTCTCCCTGCCCTCCGGTGTGGCCCTACAGAGGTGCGGTCAGTCCCCTGTGCTAATGCCGTTCCCTGTCACAGGTGTTTTTCAGAGGCATCACGGTGAATGCTGTGCGGGGCTTCCCCATGAGCGCAGCCATGTTCCTGGGGTACGAGCTCTCGCTGCGGGCCATCAGAGGGAACTACCCGGTGGCCAGCCCCTGAGTGCCAGGTCAGTCGCACCTCCCAGAGCTTGAAACTCTCCTCTTAGCCATGAAAATGTCTCCCTGCATTGGTTTCCTATCTAATCTGTGTTGATCCTGGGACTTGGATCGCCACCCTTCTTGTCATCGAAAGCCCTTCTCAAATGCCTGCCTGTGACTGGTGGTGAGCTGGGTGGGCACACAACTGACCTCTGTATAGTAAGCTCACATATCTGTTTTTCCACTCAGCAGCATCCATGGCCCTTGGAGAGAGGTTTCACTGTACAATTTAATGACCCAGGCTCAGAAGTGAGGACTCAAACCAGGGTACCCACCCCTGTCACACAGGCACCATCTTCCAACCTTCCAACTGAGCTAAGTGCCTGAGTCTGAGAGCCACCAGCAGGCTCCCAGAACTCTAGGGAACAGCCTCTGCCCCATTTCCACCCCCCACACCCTTTCCTTCTCCCTTCCTCATTGCAGAAAGATCACTGGCCCAACGCATCTACAAACAGAAATCTGAGTAAGAGACTCCCTTGCTCAAATGCCTTCAGTGGCTCCCCATTACCCACTAGGTAAAGCATCAGTCCTTAACCACTTCATCCTCACCACCATCCTAAGTATACCATCCTCATTCTCATTTCTGTGACTTTGCAATGCTGCCCCTGCCTGGCATGCTGTCCCCAAGCTGTTTTCACACCTTTCCCATTGTCCTTGGCTTCACACCTTTCCCATTGTCCTTGGCTTCCTCAACTCTTTATCATCCAGGCCTTGGTCTGGAAGTCTCCTCCTCCAGGAAGCCTGCCCTGATGCCTCAGTCAGGAGTTGTGCCTGCTGTAGGCTCCCTCCCACAACCCCTGCTCAGCCCCTACCACATCCCCCTGCATTGTAACTGCCTGATGATTTGCCTCACTCCTAGCCAGCGTGGAAGTCCCAGGAGAACTGTGGCTATTATTTCACCTCGATGGCCTGTGCCTCCTCACACAGCTTGACACATGAATGGCCACTCACAAATATCACCAAGTGGCCGGATGATCAACTTCCATATCTTCTCAGTTCTTTCTCTTCTTTTCCTCTCTTGTTTCTTCTCCCCTGGCCCAAACTGGTCCCTTGCAGAGCTCAGAGACAAAGTGGAGGAAGTCGCTGAATTTTCTAGTTACCCAGAAACCAATGTGTTTTGGCTGTGGTGACTGCAGATTGTCTCAGGAAGGATGGTCTTCATCAGGAAGGTCTTAGCAAACCTCCCTGCACCCTCCCCTGAGGAAGCTGAGCCCTGTGGGATGCCTGGACAGGCCAGGGGGAGGGCAGGGCAGATCAAGCTGGCTAGAATAAGCCAGGGATAGCCCTAGACACCACTTTAAAGCAAATGCTTTTAGCTCTTTACTAAAGCACCCACATTCACAGCTTCCCTAGCTTTCTGCCCTCTTTTATAAAAGGCAGAGGGAAGCAATGCATTTTGCATAATTAAACATCTTGGGTGACAAGTTACTGTACTAGGGTTATGTCCAAGGCAGGGAAGGGAGGCCTGGTTCTTAAAGCTGTGCTCAGATATTGGCCATTCCCCCCTTTAAAAAAATTTATAATAAAATCAATGCAATTTATTCTAGAAAACTAGGGGGGAAAGAAGTAAACTGAAAGAACAGCAACAAAAACCCTATAATTCCAAGACCTTTCTATTCTAAGTGTTTTTTATGTGTACCTCTGAAAAGGGATCCTACTTCCCACAATGTTTAATAATCTCTCCTGTTTAATAGTCCAGGACCGTTTTCCCATGTCCTTAAATCTTCAGCCGCAAGGTGGTTTAATGCCAAGGCCTGGCCGCTCCCAGAGTGGCTGGACGCTTGCCGGAGCTGTCGCCATCTGTCACTTGTGACCACCCTGGTGACTGGCTACTTCAGGAGGAAGGAAGAAGTTTCTAGCACGCCAAACCCTGATTGTTTTAGACTTGGCCGTTCAGGACAGTGACCCCCACCTCCCGCCCCCTCCCACACACACACACACACACACACACACCCTGACTGGAAGCGTTTCTTCCTGAAAGTGCTCTGACCATACAAGGGCACAGATGCCAGCTGGGGTGGGAGGAGGCTGGTGCGCCCAGCAGGAATTGGGGAGGGGGTTCCCAGTGACTTTTCCGGAGCCTCATCTTAAACAAGCCTCCTGCTCTGACCCAAGAACACCAAGGCCCTCTAACAGATCTTGGATTTGAACTTACCCCCTGCTCTGAGATCTCGGGCCAGTCATGGTTCAGGCCAAGGTAGTATCCACGCTTTGACCACATGGAAACCAGTGCCTCCCTCATGGTCTAAACCAGAGGTCCTCAAACTACGGCCTGCGGGCCACATGCAAATACAAATATTGTATTTGTTCCCGTTTTGTTTTTTTACTTCAAAATAAGATATGTGCAGTGTGCATAGGAATTTGTTCATAGTTTTTTTTTAAAACTATAGTCCGGCCCTCCAACGGTCTGAGGGACAGTGAACTGGCCCCCCCTGTTTAAAAAGTTTGAGGACCCCTGGTAAACTGATGACAATGAGATGATGTCATTAGAGAACTAGGGAAGTGGTAGGATGGTGACATCTCAAAAGTGCCGAGTGCAGGCAGTGGGAATCCCTGGAATTGTCTTCAGGTGCCTGCAGGACACAGCCAGCCCCAGCCTCCATCTAACAACCAGACACAGGGCGCTCCCGGCTCCCACACCTCCTTTTCACCCACCTGCTCAGTGGGTCTCTCCAGGCGAACACAAGAGTGACCCACGGACCGTTTGTACCCAAGTGAATGCAGCACGAGGTGGTCGTTTCATGATGTGGCTTTATCTGTTCGTACGGAGAAACCTGATTCAGACTACGCGAGGGAGATGACCTTTGGTGATAGAAAGGGGGCCCAGCCACTGGTCAGCGGTCAGTTCTTGGGCTTGTCTGAGGCCTGTGAATCCAGTGCACCACTCCTACCTGTCCATCTGGATCCCCCACATCCAGAACCTTCCAGAAATAATGCTGTTCTGCCCCTGCCATGACTTTCGTGCTCCAAACCTCATTGGTCTACTTTCGATGTCAGGAAATTCATTTTCAAGAGAAGTAGATACAGTCTCCCTCCCACCCATTTTTTTGAAAATATGCAAATATAGTGGAACCTTGGTTCTCAAACTTGATTCATTCTGGAAGGCTGTTTGGAAACCGAATCTTTCCCCCCACTAGAAATCATGTAAATTGAATTAATTCATTCCAGACCCCCAAATAATTCCGTTTTACTAGTAATCTTCCTTTCTTTAACAATTTTATTTTATTGTTGACAGTATTACAGATGTCTCCCAATTTTTCTCCCCTTAACCCCCCTCCCAGCCCCTACACCACCCCAGACCTTCACCACACTATTGTCTGTGCTCTTTGGTTATGCATATATGTATATGAGTCCTTTGGTTAATCTCTTCCTGTCTCCTCCTGCCCTTTCTCACCCACCTCCCCGCCCCCCCCCCGCCCCCCCCTGCCCCCCCAAGGTATGTCAGTCTGTTCTATACCTCCATGTTTCTGGATCTATTTTGTTCATCAGTTTATTATGTTCATTAGATTTCACTTATAGGTGGGATCATGTCTTTCTCTGACTAGCTTATTTCACTCATCATAATACTCTCAATATATAATACTTATATACAGTACATGCCTAATGTACTGTTTAATCTATAAACACTTTAAAACAAAAAGGACATGAAATGTAAATGAAAATTTAACAAAAAGGAAATGAAATGTACAGTAAAAAATGAAAATTTAATAATAATAAGCAGCAATAAGAACAAAAACACACACAAATATTCACAGCACAATTTCCCGAGATGTTAACAACATGCAGTTTAGCAATAAACTGACTCATACTCACGCATTCTCTCCTTTGTTAGTCGCCTGAGAAATGTTTGACGGATCATACAGCTATCAGCATGAAAGGGTTGTCAGGTTGAGAAGCGAACTGTTGGAGATGGGAGATGTTCGTTCGAGGACCAAGGTTTGACTGTAACCTAGACAACCTCAGAGCCTTCCACCAGCCTGTTCTTGTGGTGATGCTTTACCAGTTGTTGCTTCGCCCAAGCAGCTCTAAGTGGGCTGTTTGACTGCTAGATCTTGCTGACTGATTGTATGAAAGCCTGACCTCTCCTCCTTTTTCCGCAGGGCCAGGGCTGGTGTCATGGACCAGGGCCTCATTCCCTGCAGGGCGAGGCCTCTCCAGAACCTGCTCACCTCCGAACCCCTTCTTTCGGATTGCAAGCACTCTGCTCCCCCTCTCCCAGCTGGACCATTGATAAACCGCCACCTATTTTTTATCTGCACTGGCACCTGGCAAAAAGTGGGGCGAAATAGACCTGTTTCCCACGACTGCTGTAAACTCACTGGGAATTCACAGAGGAGCTGGAGTTGTCTCTAAGTTTCCAAATAAAAACAATGAAAACTTCTTCAGGTCATTTCTGTATCGGATGCTTCTGCCTGGCTTCCAAGAGACACAGGCCACCCTCACTCTTCCCTCTGTTAGACCCCTGTAGATGTCACCAGAGAAGAGGCCATTCCATGCAGGTGAGAAGTCTCACTTCCCTTTTCCCAGCTGCCTGAGGTGGGCAACGGAGTGGGAGGAAGCCCTGTAGGCGCTCTACCCCCCGCGGCCAGCAGTACGTGCAGGTCACGCTCCAGAGGCCGGGGCACTGAGTGCGGGTGGGGTGGGCGTTCTCTGGGCCTTATTTTCACATGGAGAACAAAATGAAGCAAAATAAAATACTTTGTCCACAGCCCGGTTTCCAGAATGATGTCATGATTCTACATTGTGTTTCTCACTCGAGCCATGTGGGGAGGCCCTTGCTCGTGTCCGTGATGTCACTCCCACTCTTCGTGCCGACAACAGGCGTCGTTAATCAGGCAGGGAGCCCCTCCTGTGGAGCCGGATGCAGCGTCAGAGTCCTCCTCAGCACAGTGCCCTGAGCAGCCACCACCAGCCGGTCCACAGTGACAGACAAAGGAATCTAGTTGCCATTCCTGGCTTAAAACCTGGTGGTGAAAATATCCTTAGATTTCTTTTCTCCCTCCCCGCCCCCTGTGATTTCCTGCCCCCTTCCACGGCCCTTGAGTGACTCAGAGCATGTTTCTGGAAATTCCCTGCCCTACCAGACCCAGCACCAAGGCACAGCGCTGCTCAAGGCATAAAGAAGTTGAACGTGTTCAGCCTCATTGTTTATCCTGATGCTTTAGCAGAGGGTTCCCTCCTTGAAATAAACCCTTAGTGTGCCCTCCTTGGTCTTCCTGCTTCACAGCCCCTGGCGATGGCGGGTCCCTCGGGCCGATCTGCGGGCTGCAGTCCAACACACCCCCTCCACCCGTCATCAAGCATTTGTTGACCACCTACTACGTGCAGACTCTGTCGTTTGTGTCGGGGACAGCAGCACTTCCGTTCTGGTGTATGGTTCTACTGACGGACAGGTGGGCCGGCCCACCCAGCTTCACTGGTCCTGGGCAGGCACTGTGGACACTGGTGAAGAGATGTCCACTGTCATCTAGTCCCTTCCCAGTGAACCTGAGGTCTTTCCTCTAACGCGGTCTAAAGTGTGTTTTTACTAGTACGTCGGCCTCAACGAGACCGTTTCCCGGTGCTGGTCCCGGTTGCCCAGTTTGTCTAGAAGTGGTGGTGTGTTCACAAGGCCAGCAGAAGGCGTCTGCTGGACGCGCTGATAAGGCTGAGATCCAAGAAACAACCTTCTTCAGGTGTCAGAATCCTTCGCAGTTCCTCTTGGTGTTCTCTGATCTGCTCCATGAGAGGAGGAGGTAAACAGAAAGAGGCCTTGCTGACCAAGTTCACAGGCGGAGAAACGGAGGCTCCAATGTACTTCCAGTTCCATCTGATAATCTTGAGGCCACACTGCTCCCTGCTGTCCAGCCCATGGAACGTCATTTCATAGTGGGAAAGAGAAAGTGGTTGGGACACCACCTGTGTAACGTACAGAGTCCTGAACGGTCAGTGAAGGCCTTTGGCAATCCCCATCAGAGCTGCTCTTCCAGCCTCACCTCTTACTGCTCTGTCCCAGGTTCCCCGTACTGCCAACCATTTTCCCATCCCATCCAATACCAGGCCCGTGTGAGTATTTAAATGTTTGTCGAAGGAATGACTGAGTATCCAACAAACCCACGGGACCAGCTCCTGTCTGACCGCCACCCTCCAGGCTGTCCTGCCTCCATGAACAGGGAGCATTTCTGGTATCAGAGAAAAAAGTAACAATTACCATTACCTTTGTCAGCCCTGCGGGGGGTGGGGAAGACGTCTACTAAGAAGGGCTCCTGGTGATGAACTGGGCTCATATTTAAAAACAAACAAAAAACAGAGCGTAGCAGCCATTCCTGCTCTTCACAGAGACCCTGTGCTGAACTGCCGGCCTGCACTGTGTTCCTGCCATCTGAGCCAGCCCTTATAAGGTTTCCTGAAATTCTATTTCAACCAGTAGGATTGAGGCTTTCCCAGCCCAATCAGAGCTGCACAGCTGTGACCAGTCAGAGTGGCTGTTTTAACCAATCAGGACAGTGCCTTTGGGGCCAATCAAACTGCAAGGATTTGGAGCCCTGATTTGCATGAGATGGACCAATCAGGGACTATGGGCAGGGATTTCTGTCTACATAAGAATGAAGCTGGGGCCCTGGCTGGGTGGCTCAGTTGGTGGGAGCATTGTTCCCCATACGTCATGGTTGTGGGTTCCATCCCCAGCCAGGGCACATACAAGAATCAACCAATGAATGTATAAATAAGTGGAACAAAAAATTGATGCTTCTGTCTCAAAAAAAAAAAAAAAAAAGGAATGAAGCTTCATCTCCCTGGCTGAGCTGAAACACTAAGGTTTGCCAGAGCAGAGTGAAGCAGGCCAGCATGGGCAGAGCAGAGCTGTCTAGCTGGAGAGGGGCCTGGCCCCAGGACCCCGGCCCCAGAGCTGTTGTACAGCTGTGCTGTTTTCACAGCCCCGCTGCATCACGATTCAGCTGTCCGACAGCCGCGTTTGCACTGAGTAAAGTTTCCTTCTTCACTGCATCCCCAAAGGGGATTCTTGCTGGCATTGAATCGGTGCCAACAAGCATCTGTTGGCACTCAGTCACAGCAGTTCTCAACAGCAGTCCCGTTCATTCTTCAAAATTACAGAGAACTTTTGTTTATGCAGATTGTAACATTTACCAGAAATTAAAAGAGAATTTAAAAAATATTTATATAAAGCGTAACAACCCTATTACATGTTAAGATAATAACACTTTTATGAAAATAGCTATGTTTCCCCAAAAAATAAATAATGAAAGAGTTGCACTGTTACATTTTTGCAGATCTCCCTAACTTCTGGCTTAACTAGAGGACAGGCGGATCCCCATACGCTTCTGCTTTCAATCTGTTGTGGTGCCAGCTGCCACGTAGCCTGTGGAAAGCTCCCTTGCACACTCGTGGGAAAATGAGAGTGAAAAGGGCGGATGCCATCTTATGTTATACTTGGTATGACAATTGTTTTGACCCCAGGGCCCCTTTGAGAGGCTGCTCCACAAAAAGAAATCTGTCACCAAAGGCTTTCCTGGCTGGTAAGCTGCAGAATCACCACTTGGTGGCAGCAGAGGTCAACTAAATCCTGCACAGGCATAGGCTTCGGGTGGCTGGTGACCCTGGCCTCGGTGATGAGAGCGTCTGGGCCCTGTAACTCCGCTTCCTGTGTTTTGGGTCTCCTGCCTCCCTTCTTGTCCTTTCACTTCTCTGTGGAACGAACCTCAGACTAGGGCAGTGATGGCGAACCTTTTGAGCTCGGCGTGTCAGCATTTTGAAAAACCCTAACTTAACTCTGGTGCCGTGTCACATCTAGAAATTTTCTGATTTTGGCAACCATAGTAAAACAAAGACTTATATTTTTGATATTTATTTTATATATTTAAATGCCATTTAACAAAGAAAAATCAACCAAAAAAATGAGTTTGCGTGTCATCTCGGACACGCGTGTCATAGGTTCGCCATCACTGGACTAGGGAGACCTCTGCTTTGGGTTCTAGTTCCAGGTCTGTCATCAGCTAGCTGCGTGACCTTGGCAAGCTTTTGCCTCTGCTGTGCCTCAGTTTCCTCATCTGTAAAATGGCCACACAGAGTATCCCTACTTACTTTCCAGGGCTTCCATAAGAATCAAGTGCAAAAGTGGTTTTCTAAACTGTAAAATGCAAAACATAGGGGTTAGAGATGGTCGGGGAGGGGTGGGTCCCTAGGATTTTTCTTGGCCTGCCTTCCTCTCTGTGCATCTGGGGTGCTTGCATTTTCAGGGGGCCACACAGGATGGCTGTGGCGGTGCCTGGGCCTCGTCTCTGCAGGTGAAACCCCGAGAGCTCCAGATGCCTGTCTCCTAGGCCTTTGGACCGATACGTGAACATCTGATATGTGTACTTGGGGAGGGGTGGTTGCAGATGCTGATATGGCCCTTCTGTCCCCAGGGTGTCTGACGAGTCATTGATTCTCGTCCTTCAGGGTTCTGGCCCCTCTCTCAGACTGACATCAGAGAAATTTCCAGGAAACATTTTGTCCAGCAGAGGAGTTCAGCCCATAAGCACCTCGGATCCAGAAAAGCCATCCACAGGATCACTGCTCCCCCCCTACCCCCGACCCCTACCCCCGGATGAATGTGGGGAGGGGCCAGTATTCTCTGGGCTCAGTCACCCCTGCCAGTCACAAGACCCACCCTAGTGCCCTGCCCCTCTGCTTCCCAGCAGCGAAGGCCAGTCTCCCCCACACACACCTGCAGACTCTGAGGATGCTGCTGTGTTCGCTGTTGTGCTGAGGTCGGCACCTGGCGCTCCCTGCAGGTTTCATTGGTATTTGCTGAGTGACTCACCACAGCTTCAGGTGTGTACATAATAAATGAACTTTAACTGGATTTAGTTTTTTACAAGCATCCATTCTACCTCATGGCATGAAAAGTAATTTTGCCATTTCAGGGTAAAATTCCGAAATTACAGGTTAAATGCAGTCAGTTCAGGATTTTCTCCTTCTCCCTGCCCTGAGAGTGACTTTAGATCAGCGGTTCTCAACCTGTGGGTCGCGATCCCTTTGGGGGTCGAACGACCCTTTCACAGGGGTCGCCTAAGACCATCGGAAAACACATATATATTTACGTATTGTTTTTGTGATTAATCACTATGCTTTATGTTCAATTTTTAACAATGAAAATACATCCTGCATATCAGATATTTACATTACGATTCATAACAGTAGCAACATTACAGTTATGAAGTAGCAACGAAAATAATTTTATGGTTGGGGGTCACCACAACATGAGGAACTGTATTAAAGGGTCACGGCATTAGGAAGGTTGAGAACCACTGCTTTCGTTAGATTTGGGGGTTTGAGGTATAGGAGAAGCTTCTGTCTCTTGGGAGATACATCACCGTACCTGGCATCCCCCCTCTCTAGTCCTAAGTCCTGGTCTTTCCTCCATGTGGCTTCTGTGGAAGCGGCTTCATTCCCATTTGGCCCTGGCCACATGGCCCATGTGTGCCATGTCTGCCAACCCAGGCCTCTCCGCTGTGCTCCATGACACGTCCATGCTCCTCTCTGGTCAAAGTATTTGATTAGACATTTCTCTCAGGAAGAAATATAAGTGGCCACTGAGCACACGCAAAGATGCATCAAAAGATGCAACACTAGTTATTAGGAAAATAAACTAAATTCACAGCGAGATAATCGGACTGGGATGGCTACGATAATCACGATAGATAGTAAGTGTTGCTAAGGCTGTGGAGAAGTTGGAAACCTCATGCATTGCTGGTGGAAATATAAAGTGGTATAGCCACTTTGGAAAACAGTTTGGCAGTTCCTCAAAAAGTGAAGGTAGAATTACCATGTGACCCAGCAACTCCACTCTTAGATGTAAACCCATGAGAAGTGAAAACATATGTCCTCACAAAACCTTTACAAGAATGTTCATAGCAGCACTATTCAGAATGGCGAAAAGGCAGAATCAACCCAAATGCCTATCTATATAGGCTACAACATGAATGAAATTTCAAAGCACCATGCTAAGTGAAAGAAGCCAGTCACACAGAAAAACGTGTATTGCGTGATTCCATTTATAGGAAAAATCCAGAAGAGGCAGATCGATGGAGACAGGAAGTAGATCACTGGTTGACTAGGCCGGAGGAAGGGGGGAGAGGGGATGGCTGCTGGTGTGTACAGGGTTTCTCCCAGGGGTGATGACATGTTCTCAAATTAGATTGTGGTGATGGTTGCCCAACCCTGTGACTATAGTAAAAGCCATTGAATTAGCCACTTTAAATGGGAGAATGGTCTTTGCATTTCTGCTGAGGGCTCCCTTTCCAGAGGGAGAGCGGTCTTGGTCTGGGTGGGGAAGGAATCACAGGGTTGAGCCTTCACAATACCGTCCCGTTTCACACTGGATGGCTGGGAAGATAGAGAAACAGGTGCATGTGGACTGGTCAGCGGCAAGGCTGGCAGCATCGGGGTGTGGCTTCGACCAGCAGTGGTGTGGCCTGGTCAGGAATTTCCCCTGGAAACAACTTAGCCTGGGTCCTAGCAACATGGAGGAGGCAGCTGCAGGCCCCTGTTGGTCAGATTTAGGAGTTGGCTCTAGAGTCTAGAGCCTGGTACCTGAGTTAGGACCTTGGCTTTACCACTTGTAAGCCGTTTGCCCCAGGCAAGTTATTAGTACGTAACCTGTCTGCACCTCGGTTTCCTCATTTGTGCGCTGGGAATAATTATATGAAATAATTCTGTACCTATCTCAAGGGGTGGTGGTGGTAAAGGTCCAACTGTACATTCCGCAAAGCATGCTGAGCGCAGTGCCTGGTACCAGTAAACACTCAGTAAAGGTGAGTTCTCTTCTAGAGAAATCTCAACCCTCGGGGCACAGGGAGAAGGCGGCTTTAAGGCTGAGACAGGGGTGGGTCCTGCGGGTTTTACAGCTTTTGCAGAAAAGCTGCGGGAAACCACCAAGCCCTGCTGGGGAGGAATCCGTGGCGTGGGTTGCAGCTCTTCTCTTTGCCCACCTCTGCGGACGCGATTGCGTTCCCAGGTTTGCTCTGAGCCCAATCGCCAGCATCTGCCCCTGCCGTGATCTCAGCGTGGGCGCGCTTGCAGAGGGGGGAAGCGGGCACTGCGGCCTGTCAACCACAGTGTGTAACGCGACACAGCTGCGTCTGGGACAGTCATTCAGAAAACCCAGGAGGAGGAGAGGGGAGGAGGCCCTGCAGCGGGGCCCAGACCCCACGTGGCGGGCTATCCGGTAGCTGCTGAAGCCTGTGTCGCTCCGGGGACGCCCAGCCCAGGTAAGCAGGGGAGAGCCCTCTGTGAGGGGGCAGCGCCGGACGGAGAAGGGCCCTCAGCCCGCAGCACAATTCTGTGTCCAAACAGCTCCCAGAGCCCAGCGTTTGTGGAGACGCATTTGGCTGCCAAACCTGATCACCTCATGTGGTGGCTCCTGTGTTGGCTGCAGAATATTAATGGCTTTAATGACGGAATCCTGCCCCGGCCCTGCCCTGGGTGTTATGTAACATAGGACGTGTGCACTGTGGATTTCCTTCCTAAACCGCTACAGGGACTGCCGGCTGAAGACGACCGGGCCCAGGTCTCTGGTTATGGGTGTGTGGGTTCCTATTATTTTAAATCTCTTTTACCCTCTGCAGTCAGTGAGCACAACACGGTCAGCTGGTATTCACGGAATAAGGGCAGAAGGGAAATGCAAGGGTTTTGCATCAGAGACAGCTGGGGCCCGTCCTATCTAACTCCCACCAGCTGGGCCCCGGGAATCATTCCGCCTTTCTGAGCCTCTGTTTCCCGCCCCGTGGCCACGGGGGGACTGAGTGGGAGGAGGCATGCTTAGAGTAAGTGCTTAATAGGACATGCCAATATTAATGAATAATAACAAGTGTATAGTTTGATAGGCCTTTTTCTCAGTTTGTCCGTGGGAATCCACAACCAAGCTAGGGAGACAGGCAGGACAGCCCTCTGGGTACTACGTGCAGGAGTCACTGTGGTGAAGAGGGAGGGCGCTGAGGGCAGTGCCCAGAGTCTCAGGGAAGAAACCATGTAGCAGATGCTGGGAGAGGCTAGTCAACACAAATCCTCACACCCAGGAAACCGTGCTGGAGCTTGCGTCCCACCCCCAGTCACCCACCACTGCCACACCACGTTGTCACCTCTCGAGAGAAGCAGGTGGATCAACAAACTGTGACGATTATCTGTTTGTCTGAAGGTCTGTGTCCCCTGCAAAATGCTTGGTGGCCTTTAGCGCTGAGGGAGGACGAAGGCTAACCCAGGGGTGCCTCTAGACTTAGAAATCCTGTGATACACACATCCCTGCAAACTAATCGCTGAGAAATTTATCTTTCAGTCCAAACTAAGATTTTAAAAAGTATGATTGAGTATCATCATGGACCCACAATTTCTGTCCCTGACGTGGGCCTCCTTTGCGAAAACTCCTCCTCCTCCTTCTCCTCTGTGGAAGGGGCTGGGCTGCAGGAGAGGTGGGGGGCGCACTTGTGCCTGCCCCCTCGCTAAAGGAGCTGCACAGCCCCAGGGGCCCGGCCACTGGGCTCATCAGAGAACCTCACTTTGGCCAAGGGCTGTTGGCAGTGCAGGTCACATGGGCTGTTGTTGAGGTTGTAGTTGGTCGAAAATAAAAGCTGAGCAAAGCCCTTGGAGAAATTCTGTCTCCTGATGCTCTAAACGTCCCATATCGTTGTGGTCGGAAGTACCCAGGAAGCCTAGCCCAATAGGCAGGGGAAGCACTTCTATTTCTGACTGTACCCAGAAAAACAGTCCCCATCCTAGGTGCCTCTAAGCTCTCCCCAAGCTTGAAGCCTTCGGGCTGCAGGGGAGGGGGCCATTCTGATGGTCATACCACCCCAATTCCTCTGCACCCAGCCAGGCACTGTGCGGCCGTGGTGGTGCTAGTGGAGGTGCTGGCTGGCTGCAGGGATCCCAGGGTTCCTCTGGTTTGTGTTCTGACCCAGGGCCTGCTCCACAACTTGCTCCTGGCTCAGCCCCAGCACTTTCTGTGCATAAACATATCCACATTCTTGAGTGCTTTCCCCACTTCTGGGCTTGCCAAGCTGCTGCCTTCTCCCACCATTAGTCTCTCAGGGCCCCAAACTCTTGGCGATGCCTGACCCTGCCTCCCCCAGTACCCACAGCTGGGGCGCCTCAGACATGCCCTTGTCCCCCAGTAGCACCCCTCAGCTCCTCCCACAGCCTCAGCCCCCGGCAGCCATTCAGCCCTTGGGCAGAGCTTGTTGCTCTTTGTTCTGAGCAGCAAGGTGGGAATAAGCACCTGGAGACCAGATGTGTTCTTTTTTTCATATATATTTATTCCAAAATAAAGATATAAAAATCTAAACAAATATATATTTTTAATTATAAAAAAAATAACAATTGATTTTGATTTAGCGTGGCTTACTTAATTTTTAAACTGCAACAACTTAAAGAGAAGGCTTTTAAAATTCAATAAATAGAATAAATACTATTTTTTATCTTTATGCTCTGCCTCTCATCCTTTCTTTCTGGAAAACTCCCAGGAGGCTGCTGAGAAACGTCAGTGTGTTGCCTGTGGTGGTTTGGTTGCACGGTTGTTCACAGGAAAAATTCTGTGGGGATAAAAGTGAACAAAGACGGAGTGGTTATAGCAGTATGGAACCCAGCAGCCCAGGAACTGCCCTGCCCAGAACCTGCTGAGGGGCGGGGGTTCTTTGGGGAGAAGCTGGGCAAGCAGCAGGGAGCTTGAGACACAGAGCAAGTGGATGGGGAAGCCCAGGTCTAGCATTTTGTGTAGACACGCAGGTGGCTGACTTTGTGGTAGGATTTCAGGACACAAACACACACCCCTATCAAATGCTCCTAAATATCTTTATTAGGGAAAACCTTTTCTTGGACTCTTTGAGGCCAACAATTTTGTTACTGTCCTTTTGGGTTGTCCTCTCAAGGTCATTTATAGCACAGTGGTGAAGGGCAGGGCCTTGGGGTCACGTTGACCAGAATTCAAATCTCAGCTTTGCCACTTATTAAATACTAGAAGCCCAGTGCACGAAATTTGTGCACAGGGGGATGGGTCCCTCAGCCCGGCCTACACCCTCTCCAATCTGGGACCCCTCGGGGGATGTCCAACTGCTGGTTTAGGCCCGATCCCGCAGTTGGACATCCCTCTCACAATTCAGGATTGCTGGATCCTAACTACTCACCTGCCTGTCTGCCTGATCACCCCTAACCGCCTCTGCCTGCCAGCCTGATGCCCCTAACTGCTCCCCTGCTGGCCCAATTGCCCTAACTGCCCTCCCCTACCAGCCTGATCACCCCTAACCGCCTCTATCTCGGTCCCCACCACCATGGCTTTGTCCAGAAGGACGTCTTCCGGTCTAACTAGCACATTATCCTTTCGTTAGTACAGATGTAGCCTTAGGAAAATTAGTTAACCTTGCCGAGCCTCAGTTTCCTCCTCTCTAAAGTGAGGGTGATAAACCTGACATGTCTGCAAGGTAGCCACGCAATGAACCGGTATATATTAAGCCCTTAGGACCACATGCTGTTGATGGTAGAAACATGTTCCAGTGGTTCTCAAACTTCTGGCCCTTTAATACAGTTCCTCATGTTGTGACCCAACCATAAAATTATTTTCATTGCTACCTCATAACTATAATGTTGCTACTGTTATGAATTGTAATGTAAATATCTGATATGCAGGAAGGTCTTAGGCGACCCCTGTGAAAGGGTCGTTTGACCGCCAAAGGGGTCGCGACCCACAGGTTGAGAACCGCTGCTTTAGGCAGCTGAGCGAAGGGCCCTCAGCCTTCTATGAGCTCGGGTGGCGATGCTAATTCCCAAGGTGCCCACTCCCCTCCCCAGCCCTGCAGGGACAGGGTATAGGCTACAGAAGATAACATGCTGATGGGCATGTAGAGCAAACGGCCAGCTTTCACGTGGATCTGGGTGAGTTTTCCTTTAAACACCTCCTTAGCCAACCCTCCCCCAAACCTTCTTTAACGTGCAGGCCACAACTGCCATTCTGTTGCTAATAGGTTAGCAAATTGAATCTCTGGATAAGTTAGTGTTCTGTGGGCTATGGCCCCCACTCCCTAGATTTTAGCATCTAATTACAATTGGATTCGGTAGGTGGAGAGAAGGAAATGGCGACAGAGGTGTTTTTAAAGCTAGGGACCATCGGGCTCTCCGAGGCAGCACTCACTTCAATCTGTGGTTCTGATTCATTTTCTGACATATCTCTTATCGACCTTGAACTACCAGTTCCACCGTCATCATCCACTCTCCCTCAGACAGACTTGGCATTACATTCACATAGACACAACTGAGCCAAGTAGGGTATCACAGATGCAAACACACTCACCGGACACTTGCTGCTCTTCAGGGCTCCGACCGTTTTCCTCACCCGATTGAAAACCAGGGGGAAACTTGCTCGCACTGTGGTGTTGGCCATCTGGGCCAGGCCCTCCTGGAAGCAGGGTGCGGTGCAGTTGTCCTGGGAATATTGAGAGGGAATTAGAAAAAGAATGCTTTTAGACACTATTTTAATTTAACCAATGGAGCCGAAACGGACGACGTCCCTTGCCAGTCTAGGAAATGACCAGTGCTCCTGGGGAGGCCCTTCGACCGCAGGGACACTCCCTGCGGGTTTCAGGATGTTCTATCCAGGGAGCCTGAGGCCTGTGGGCCCTGGAAATCAGGCAGTTCAGAGTCTCCTGGTCAAACAGTGCTCCCTGTTCCAAGTCTGGCAATAGTGAGTTTGAAAGTCAGAGAAGAAAAAGCCCTTGCACACCAGCCGGACGGGATGTGCCCATGAACGCAGCGGTGTTTCTGCAGGAGCTAACCCCCTGGGCTGGGCCAAGGGGCGGAAGGGGTGGAGTTGCGTGGTGCTGCCTGTCCGGTTCTCAGCTGCTGGGTGGGCCGGCCCTCAGCTGGGGCGGGAGCTCTGGTTCTCCCAGTCCTTGCTTCAGAGAAAGCAAGCAGGGCCCCTTGGATAAGCTCTTCCTCCTCACCTCAGCCAGAAAGTTCCTGCCCCACTTCCTCTCCGCTCAAGTGGGCATTGAACTTCCAGACGCCCTTTCCACTTCCCCTCCACCCACAACCTTGGCCACTGTCCTCCCAGAGGTCCCCTACATCAGCTAAGTAGACCGTGTGTCCAGAGAAAAGATGAAGCGTTGCCGTTTTATTTACATTGCTTTGCAACCTTAGAGTTATCGTCAAATGCACTAGAAATTAATGTGATATGGGCTATATCATCCGTTATCATCTCAGTTCCAGTTTGATTTAATAATGCACCTGGCATAGCTCATTTAGAAGGACAATCAAGATTCTTTTTTAAATATTAAAAAGTGATCAAACTTCTCAAGGAACATAGAGCTGACCAACTACAAAGAAATCTGTATGATATAGAATTCCCAGAGCCTGGTTTTTAAAGGAAATACTAATCTGTAACAATTGTAATTAAGTAACACTTGCTTATCTAAAATACCAAATAAAGCAATTATTTTTGCTTAAACACTTTAAAAAAAGAACGAGATCAAGATTATAGGCTTTTACTATACTTACAGAAGGAATGGGCAGACACAAGCAATTGGTCACCTGCAAAAGAGTAATTTCAAAGTGAAGATTCCAGATATGGAAATTAAAATCAGCTTGGAAAGATCTTAACAGAGCATTTACTCACATTGCCGCTACAGCTGCATTTTGACAGTGGATCTTTCTAAAATAGATTAAGAGACAAGACCCCATAATGTGTGATGTGTTTTTCATTCTCCTAAAATAATGCACTTACATGTCAGTAGCTGCCTCTCCCACTGGTGCCCCTCTCCGCAGCTTACCTGTAGGTTATTAATGAGGTGCGTGACGTCCTTGATCCCTACCAAGGTCAAACACCCCTGGCCAGCCACGGAGCTGAGGAGAAGGGCAGAGGCAAGGGCCACAGTCAGGAGCATCTTGACACGGAGCTGGAGCTCAGCCTGCAGACACCTTCACCTCGAGTCGTATTTAAAGCTCCCTCGCAAATGTGGAAAAACCCCGACATCAAACTGATACCAAGTGCCCACTTTTTCTTTGTAAGTTTGGGCCACTTGACATTGAAAAAAAAAGATATACATATTATAGCAAACTGAGTCACTTGGCAAAGACTATGTTGTATTATCTCAGGAAATATCATTCATTAGAAAAAAATGCTTTTGAAAAGGTTGGGTGTGAAGATGCTATAGGAAAAGTTAAAGATCTTAAAACACACACACACACACACACACACGCAGCAGAGGTTCTGGTTGTGAGGGTTAAAACTCTCCACGAAAGCCCAGGGCTGTATTTTCCCTCGTTCACTTTATTGGAAATGCGATAGAGTAATAGCCAGACACGGGCGTTCTGAGGAAGGTGGGGCTGGGCTGGGTGGGCAGAGGATGGCGGACGGGGCAGGAGGATGAGAGACAGCGCAGTTTCCTGAGCTGCTCTGTGGGACAGGGCTTTTGCAACCTCAGTCTTTGCAAACTCAGTCTAGTCACCGCTCCCTCAACCTTACTGTTCTTTATTCCCAAATCTTCACGACGTCTCTCTCGCCTGGGGCCAGACTCTGCCCCTCAAATAAATGCATCTCGATGCAAGCATTCCTTTGAACAAGGGTCTCAAGAGGACCTCTTCACTGTGAGAACAAGAATGCAGCAAGCGTGCCTGTTGGCACTGTCCTTGAAAGACTACATAGCACTGTGCTACACAGAGTGAAAACTCAGCGCTCACAATGAGATCGTCGCTAACGTTTATTGAGCACTTACTGCATACCAGTCACAGTTCTAAGCGCTTCATGGGAACCGCGCCATGGAAGGGTAAGCCAGGAGCTGGTGGCCCAAGTCAGTGTCTCTTCTCCCAGGGCCCTTCTGCTCACTCAGCTCAGGCCTCTGGATAGAAGGGAGGGGCTTTGACACCACCGGCTGCCTCATCTCTGAAGGGCTGGAGGCCCGTCCTGTCCTGTGCTGTCTGGGGAGAGGGCTTGATGGCCCATGAGCCAGAGACCTGGTCTTGGTGTAGCCAGGTACCCACCATCACTGGTATCTCGGGTAGGTCCTGGTTTACTAGGAGGAGCCGCACATCTTCAAGTCAGGAAAAAAGTGAGCAAACTAACATTTTTTTTTCTCCCCAGGCCAAACTCTGGCCTTGCCCAGTTGGGCTTGGGTCACCACCCTCCTCCCCACCCCAAGAGCCGGTGCAGAGAAAGGTGATCAGGGGGCACCGGTGCTCCTGGGGCAGGTTACCCAGCCTTTCCAAGCGTCAGTGTGCCGCCAACCCTGCCCTGCACGGAACCGGGCGGATGGCCCAGTCCTACCGCCTGGCAGGGCGGGAGCATTCCGTTCAGGATGCTGCCTCGGGAGTAGCCAAGTTTATTGGGAGCTCGGGCTGGTCTCTCATACCCTGCTCACGTTCTGCTCCCACCTTACCTACCACCCTACAGTCAAGGCGGCTTCTTTCTAATTCCAGCCTCCAGGCCTCTGTTCTTGCTAAGTTCTGCCCGGACTGTTCTTCCTCAATTCCTCCACGCACATCCATTCTCATCCTGAGGTCTCAATCCAAACGCCTCCTCCTCCACCTCCTCCTCCATGAAGCCCTCCCTGACCACAGTCACCATTGCAATCTTCATGATTCCATCTTGATATCTATTCCTCCTAGGGGGATATTAGTTCCATGACAGCCAACATGACAACTGATTCTGGTTCATTACTGTATTTCCAGGTCTAGATGAAGTGCTCAGGAATTACTGCTTAGATAAATGAATGACAGATTTCATTTTTTAAAAAAAAGGTTCTTAAATTTATATTATTTATGAAGTGACCAACAGATGTTCCCAGTGGATCCGTAACAAAAAAATAGATACAACATTTTAAAAACCTGAGGAAGGAAAGCATTTCACAAATGATTAAACAACGAGCCACGTAAACAGGCTTGTTGTGTCGTCCCTTGAGAATGTTGAAGTGCTGTTCAGCCTCTTCTCCCTTTCAATTCTGGTAGTAACCGCGTGAGGAAGGCGTGTCCGTTGTGGGAACTCCAATCTGTAAAGGATGAAGCAGAGTTAGGTGACTATGCTCTGCAATTCTTGCCCACTTCCCCACCCACTCAGTTATAGAAAAAAAAAATTAAGAATATTTAAATGGCAGTTCAGCAGTTCAAAACACCATTAGAACAGCAGATGTTTATCTAGGCAGGCAACAGCTTTTGAGGTTTAGCTTCTAGGATTTCTTTCAATATCAAAATGTAAGTATGCAAATAACCTCCTGCAGAAAACATAAACCAAGCTCAGAAATTAATTACTCATTATTTTAAATATCAAGAAGATTGGAGGGTAGGATGCTTACCAAGATTTAGTCTAGATAGCATATTTTACAATAAATGACAATACCCAACTCACTTATTTTGTTCCAAAGATAACATATGACATTTTTATTTTGTGATAAAAAAAAAGCCCATGTGTCATGAATTATTTCTTTAGGAATAAAACAAAATAGTTAATTGTTCTGGGAAGCCACAGCACAAAATGACACACACAAAATGGCATGAAATTTCTACGTAAAACCCATTCTGCGTTTTTCTCTAAACAGCCAAGAGATAACTAATTATGAGAACCCTCAAGTACTAATTTCTTAATCAAATAGTTATGTCAAAGTCGATCGGTATTTCCCACCCAATGGGATGGGCAAGCCCCGTGGGATGCACTGTCCTCCCCACAGGAGCTTCTTCCCAGGGAGTGTGACTTCCAGCTGGGTGTCCTGCACCTCTTGCCTCACATCCCTCCTCGGCGAGTTCCGGGCCCTATTCAGCTCCTGCACCATTTCTGGAGCTCCAGACACCTCCCCCCTACTCCTCACCGTCCCAGAACAACAATCCCGGCCATCTTGTAAATGGAATGTTTATGCCCTCGCATCGACACAGCCCGTCATTAGCTGAAAGCTGCCTCTGTATTTGTCAGAGACGATGGGACCCGCTTTGCTGCGCCCAGTTTATTGGTGGCCATCTAATTAAGAAAGAATGAGAACTCCTGCTCATGGTCGCACTGGGGAAGGCCCTAGAACAGCGGTTCTCAACCTGTGGGTCGCGACCCCTTTGGGGGTTGAACGACCCTTTCACAGGGGTCGCCTAAGACCATCGGAAAACACACATATAATTACATATTGTTTTTGTGATTAATCACTATGCTTTAATGATGTTCAATTTGTAACAATGAAATTGGGGGTCACCACAACATGAGGAACTGTATTAAAGGGTCACGGCATTCGGAAGGTTGAGAACCGCTGGCCTAGAATCTGTTGAACCCTTAAAGGCAAGGTAGCATATTAAGCACTTTATGGGGATGAGCATATCAAGCAGAGGGAGCAGGTGGAACAGAAAGGGCCTCTATTTTGATAGCTACTGTGTGCAGGTTTTATTTCCTAACTGGTGATCAGTGATGTATAAATAATGAGCTTCTGCTGTGAGCCAAGGACCACATTCCTTAATGGCTGCGACAAGAATCATTCATCACTAACGCATCACCTGCAGGCCTTTCTGCACCACCCGGAGAGGGGTCCCTGTGGCGCTGTTCTGGATTCCTGCTGTAATTTCTGTCTCGATATCCAGAGCCCTCAATGTCCTGCAAATGAAGGAGGAGGATGTCCTCAAAGTCCTTGGAGCAGGAACTCACTTAGGTGGCACCAATCTTGACCTCCAAATGGAGCAGTCCATCGACAAAGGAAGAGTGATGGTGTCTGCATCAGAATCTGAAGAGAACCCGGGAGAAGCTTCCGATGGTAGCTTGTGCCGTTGATGCTGTTGAAAATCCGGCTGTGAGATTGGTCCTAAACCGGCAGTCGGACATCCCTCTCACAATCCAGGACTGCTGGCTCCTAACTGCCCACCTGCCTGATCGCCCCTAACCACCTGCCAGCCTGATTGCCCCAACTGCCCACCCCTCACCGCCCCCCCCCCCCCCCCCCCCCCGCCACATCCCAGGCCGGGGACAAATGCAGGCAGCGTTACATCAGCACTGGGGCGGGGGGGGGGGGGGGGGACGCACACAGGCAGTGTCACGTTAGCACTACGCAGGCCTCTGCTGGGGGCCGCCCCGGGCGGGCCGTGCGGAGGCCCTCCTGGTGATGGATTGTGCCGGTGTAATGCAAGTCCCTGACGCTGTAAGTTCCCACCCACTCTCACCTGCTGTGCACATAGCCTGCTGATCAGTCATTACACGTGAGGGTGTCCTGACCAATTTGCATATTACCTTATTATTAGTATAGATGATGAGCAACTGAAGTTTTAAAAACCTGAATGACTTGCCCAGGATCACATGGCTATTTATTACTCAATAAGGGGCCATTTTCTTTTGAGCACAGCCTGGACAGCATCACGCAGATTGAGGCATGTTTGCCCACTCTTATTAATTCCTTAATAATCTGTAATGTCACGTTTAGTTTCTTTGATGAAGTTCCTGTTGTTTTCGCCTCTGTAGGGAAGACTTTTTGTTTCTTCACCAGAAGTTGACTAGTTGTGCTCATTCTTTTTTATTCCTGCCCATACCCCATTTGATCTTAAGATCACACTCTTTTTTCCAGTAAAAAAACACACAAAACTTTTCTATTCGTTTTTTGATCTCCAATCTCCTTTCTCCCCCTATTGTATATATGTTGAAATCTCCTAAACTTATTTTTCATACCTTTGTTTTTGTTGCTTTTATTTCTGATTTCTGGGGAACTTTAGGATTGGATCTTTTCGCAATTCAATTATCTGAAGAATCCAACCCATTGTTTAACAGTCTCTATTTAGGTTCTTTCCCCCAAATATTTTAATTTTAATGTTTTTTAAAGTTCAATGTGCATTTCAAAAAGTATGTAACAAGCTCATAAAGTTTGCCTTGCACTATTTTTATAAAAAGGGGGCAGGAAGATGATACAAATGACAAAGCTATATAAAATGGCCTTTC